TTTTGTCCTAAAGCTCTATTTTTTAAAACTCAATTTGATTCAATATTTGTTTATTGAGCGCTAGGTGCTGGGGATTCAAAGATGAAAAGTGAAATAGCCCTTGCCTTCAAGGAGCTTCCACTCTATTGGGAAAAACAACATGTGCACTGATAAGGAAATGAAAAATGTGCTCAAAGTAAGTTGGTATTTGTAATTTCACAGGCAAGGTTTGTCCTCCTGCCTCACTTTTCCATCCCAAAAGCCTTCTCTTCCTTCGAGGCTCAGCTCAGGTGTGGCAGATGGGGTCTGGGGATCACTAACAACCTGGGGAGGTCACAGAAAGTCTTCATTCAGAAAGTGACTCCAGTTGAGCCTTGAAGGAAGTTGGAAATGCCAAGGGACAAGGTGGGGTCAGGGTTAAAGGCGTGAGGGGCGACCTGAGCAAAGGCATGTAAATGGGAGATAGAGCATTGTATATATGGGGAAGAGGGAAGGAGTCACTTTGGCTAGAATGTAGCCTCAGAGAAGGGAAGAGATACACGATAAAATTGGAGAGCCAGGGATTTATGTAGTGGACTGGAGGCAAGGAAGGGCAGCTAGGTGGTGTAGTAGATACAGTGCCAGGAGTCAGAAAGATCTGAGTTCAAATCCAGCCTCAGACAGTTACTAGCTGTGGGCAAGTTTGTTTGTCTCAGTTTCCTCATCTGGAAAATGAACTGGAGAAGGAATCAGCAAATCATTCCAGTATTTTTTGCCAAGAAAATTCCCCCAAAGGGGATCACAAAGAGTCAGACATGACTGAGAAACAACTGAACAACAGTCCCTCTTGGGAGAGACTGGAGCCTTGGGTAGTGATAAGATGAGACCTGTGTGGGGAGAGATAGGAGGCAGGGAGATGGATCAGGAGGCCATGGAATAGTCCAAAGGAGAGGGGATGAAGGTCTGGCCTGGAGTGATGGTCCTGGGAGTGAGGAAGAGGAATGAATATTATGGTGGTTGAACCAGTAAGATTTGGGATCTGATGGGATAAGGAAGGCAAGGGGGAAAGAAGAATCCAGATGACTCTGAGATGGAGAACCTGGAAGATTGAAAGGCCGGAGCCAGTCGTAGATGGAGATTGGGGTTCAGGAAGATGGTTTAGCCTGGGAGTCAAGGTGATGGTTCCATTTGGGGCATAGTCTGCAAAATGTGTTTTCTAAGCTAAGTTGTTGTCTCTCACATATTGTGTTTGCTCTGATTTGTCTTTTTTTTTTCCAGCCAAAGACTAGGCTTATTAAAACATCAGTAGAGGGTGGGCATGACTCTAACAATCCCCCATGTTGACTAGACTCTTAAGAAATCTGAGCCTGATTTGTCTTTAAACTCAAAGTAAAGCATTCCTAAGGTCTTGTCCCCTGGGGATGATTTCATGTATATCACAGAATCTCAGAGTCAGCAGTGGTCAACAAGCCTGACTTTGAACACTTGAAGGGCTCTTATTATCTCCAGTTTATCCTCTCTCTGTCTTGTTTGTCCGCAGTTGTTTATAGGTGATCTCCCCCATTGAACTGGGAGCTCCTTGAAGGCAAAGACAGGGTTTTTTTGCCTTTCTTTTTATCTCTAGCATTTAGCACAATGCCCAGTACATAGTAGGCACCTAAATGTTTGTTGACTGAACTGTTGTATGGAAGTGGGGGTGGCCTTCTTCTGCTTGGACCTCATGGGCAGAATGAAGAAGTTCCAACGAAGCCAATTTAGGCTTGAAATAAAGAAAAAGTCCTAACCATGAGAGCTGTCCAGAAGTATAAAGGGCTGAGTGGGGGAGGTAGTGTGCTCCCCGTCACTGGGCATCTTTAAACGAAGGCCAGACAACCATTTGGTGGGGAGATCAGAGGAGTGAGGTGAGTTCAGGTGTGGCTTGGTCCACCTCACCCCTGACATCCTGACATTCTTTCTGTGCTTGGTCACTCAGCCCAGCCCTCAGGTCCTCAGGAATTCCGTCTCCCCTCACCCCACTGGCCTCCACATGAAGACCCCTGATGAAGGGGGACCATGTCTAGGGGTGGGCAGCTTGTTCCACTTTTGGATAGCTCTAGTGGGCAGGAAACCTTTCCTTCCATGGGGCTGAAATCTGCCTCTCTCCAACGTCTAGTGATTACCACCAGCTCTTGGCCTCTAGGGCCGAGCAGAACAAGGCTATGGACAAACACACTCAAGCTTGTCTGTTGTGTAAAGAATGTTGTTGTCAGAATGAAACCAGTGCTGTTCCTGTTTTGTGTGAATTCAGTGTTATTCATTGTGAAAGGCAGGATGGTCTAGTGGTTGGAGGGTTGGCCTCAAGTCAGAAAGAACTGGGTTCAAATCCTACCTCTGACACATAATGGTTGTGTGATGCTGGGCGAGTCAGAACCTCGTTGTCCTCTAGGTAACACCCTAAGATGCCAACGTTGCAGAGCGGGCGCTGACCTGCATTAGCAGAAGGAATTTCTTCAGCAGAGAGTTCCCTGTGCCAAGGCAATCATAAATCCAGGCTCTATCCCTCTGTCCGATCTGTTGCCTGATTGAGAGCATGGCGTCATTTGGCAAAATCTTCTAAGGTCCTCACATTTGCTTTGACTTTAGTCCTCTGTTCAATCCGTCAATAAAGAAACATCCATTGAGTGCCTACTATGTGCCAGACACTGTACTAGGCCCTGGGGATACAAGGCTAAAAATGAAACATCCCTGCCCTCCAGGAGCTTCCATTCTATCCGGGAGACAATATGCCTATAAATAAGGTTTTACAGACTAAATACATGGGAATAGTTTTGGGAGTAACTGCTCATTCTGAGCGTCAGGGTCAGTTTGTGTGTTGCAATTCAATCTGGGGTAAGTAGTGAAGACAGCACAGGAGACCTGGGTTTGAATCCTGGCTCTTCCCCCAATTAGATGTGTCGTTTTCACTCTCTAGGACTCAGTTTCTTTGTTTGTAAAATGAAGGGGTGGGACTCGATGGGCTCACAGTCCCTTTCCTGTCCATGATTTTATTCCAACATGGACAAAAAAAGGCATATGGCCTTGATTGCAAGATGATATGGAGGGAGATATGAACAGAGAGGGAAAAAAGATAATCCTTATCTTGTTAAGCATCTATGGGTATATATACCTATGTAAACAAACACAGAGAAATGAACTGCAAGGTAATAGTTTTATATGTACACACATACATATGTGTATGTATGCATATCTATATGTGCACACACATCTGTACATAGGAATATACATTTATGTGTGTCCATGCACATATGTAAATAAGCAAATGGAAATGAAATATAAGGTAATAGTTTTATATGTATTTACATATACATATATGCATATATGTATGCATGTATATATATGTATATGTGCATCTATTTAAATATATGTATATCTATGTATTGAAATACATTTATATAGCACTTACTATGGGGCAGCTAAGAGGCACAGTGGATAGTGCACCAGCAATGAAAACAGGAAAATCTGTCTTCACGAGGTCAAATCTGGCCTTAGACACTTACTAACTGTGTGACTGTGGGCAAGTCACTTGACTCCGTTTGCCTCAGTTTCCTCACCTATAAAATGAGCTGGGAAGGAAATGGCAAACTACTTCAATATTTTTGGCAAGAAAAGCCCAAGTGGGGCATGAAGAGTGGGACAGCACTGAACAGCAACAGTACTTACTAAGTGCTAAAAGCACTAAAAGCAGGGACAAAAACTTAAAAGTTAAGGCAGCCCCTGCCTTCAAGGAGCTTATATTCTACTTGGAGAAACAACAAACCTGGGGGTGGGGTGGGGGCCACCTAGGGCACCTTTGGTCTGAAAAGCTATAGGCATGATGGGTAGGGCCCTGGGGAGATGGATGGAGACCTGGGAGTAGAACCGATCATGATTTCAGAACTGGGAAGGGCAAGGGGTGGCCAGATAGGATGAGGGAATGAAGTGAAGCTTGGTTTTCTGGGAGAGACAGTCATGGCTGCAGAGAGTGAGATCCCCAGGGCAGAAGGCCTTCCCGGCAGGGTATGGGGTGGAGGTTGGGAACGGGGCAGCTGGAGGGGGGATTGTGGTGGGTAGTGTTCCAATTTCCTTGGGCTTCTCCTGAAAATCAGTCTTATTTTTAGATGTTTCATTATAAACATAATATTTAACAGCAATATAACCAGCTAAACTTGCTTTATAATTCTTTACATGTAAATATATTTATTTTAATACATAAAATGTCAGCACTTCTCTATTACTCCCTCTAAATCTCCATAGGATCTGGGTTCAAGTCCTGCCCCCATCACTTATTACCTGTGCCGTAGATCTAGAACTGAAAGGGACCTTAGAGGTTATCCCTCATTCTAAAGATGAGGGAAGTGAAGCCCAGGGAGGTGGTGACATGGTTGGTCCTTGGGAAAGTTGCTTCCTCTCTGGGGTTCGCTTTCCTTGTATGCCACACGAGAGGACTCAGTGACCTCCAAGGGCCCTTCCAACTCAGGATCGGGGTTCCTTGCTGCTTAGGCATTTCTTGTCCACTTGTCCTCTTTCCTCCTTCTTCCTTCCTTCTGGATCACTGGAGGTCTTGTGCACCACATTCTTTTGGACCTGTCTTCTTCCTTTCTTATACTTTCACAAACACTTTCCCAGATATCTTTGTGTTTGTTATATCTCTCAGTTTTATGGGTATGATAGTATTCCTTTACATGAATGTAGCACAATTTTTTTAGCCATTTCCCTGCTGTTAGACATTTAGGTTGTTTCTTTCATTTATTTATTTATTTATTCATTCATTCATTCATTCATTCACTTATCTATCTATCTATGTATCTACGTATCTATCTATTTATTTATTATTTTTTGCAATTAGATAATGCTGCTATAGTTTTTGAACAGACGGTCCCTTTGAAATTTTGACTAACATAACAACTTCAAGGACATAATTATTGGGCAGTGCCCTAGTCGTCTATTTACTTAGATTTAGGTTGGCTCGTTTTCTTCTAACATGTACCATGATCTTAAGTGTGTTTTCTCTCTCTTTTTTCCAGTTGCAAATGAGGCAGGAGACAAGGCTGCCAGACCCCTCGCTCGCTTCTCTCGTAAGTACAGTCTCACTGCTATAATTGCCCTCTTACTGGGAATCCTCATCCTATAGCTGCATGTCATGAGGGAGAGGGGGCAATGTTTTCCCTGTGCCAGGACAGAGACTGCCATCCTTGCATATCATGTTTTGACGTCTTTCTTTGGCTCACGAACCTGTGGGGACCTTGGGGGAGGTGGGCCCTAGAAGAGGCTTGGAAGCAAGGTTGTTGAATTGGAAGTTGCTAGGGCAGGGAAAGGAGACTCACTCATGATTGTACTCTTGGTTGGACTGTCTCCCCTTGACCTAACCCTTATGTAAGATCAGGACAGGCCCTTTCAATTTGCTTCACATTCAAGGATTCCTAGTAATGATTCTTTAGGAAACGGCCCAATCAGTAACAATGCCAAAATGTGTCTGATTAACAAATTCAGAGCTACTTAAAAAGGCTATTTTCCCTCAGGTGACTTGGAATGTTTTATGGACAATATTACCTTTTATGTTCCTTATGATGTGGCAAGTGGGTTTGAAGGATCTCTAAATTTAGACTATAGACAGAAAACCAGAATGGGGAGGAGAGATGATTTGCCTCAGGCGAGACTTAACTAGAAGTAAACATAGCTCCTTTACATTTTGATGCCTTTGGACAAAGACCCAGTCACTTCACCTTGGTTATACCTCTGCTCTTGTTTGGCTAATGTCTGCCTTCCCTGATCCACATGATTCATGAGTCATTTCCCCTTCTGCTTTCTCCTGCGATGGCCTTCCCTTCTGCCACTCCCTGTGAGAAGGCAAGGACCTCAGTATAATTGTGCTGAAGGATAATGAAGCAGTATAATATAGTAGAAAAGATTCTGGATCTGGAACCAGAGGATCTAGGAGTAAATTAGCTCTGTTTTTCTACCTGTGTGACCTTGGGTGCATCACTGAACTTCTCTGGGCTTCAGTTCCCTCATCTGTAAAGGGAGGGGGTTGGATTTGATGGTCTCTGAGATCTCTCCTAGCTCCAGATCTACAGATGGCGTACAGCCCACCTCCCTTCATAGGAGTAGGGAGCCAGTGGAACCCTGATGCTTTCTAGGTCAGTCTGCCTTTTCACTGGACTGGGACCCAATGGTTCCTCCTGAGTGAATGAAGAAAACAAGTTGTTATTCAGTTGTGTCCTATTATTCATGACTCTGTTTGAAGTTTTCTTGGCAAAGATACTGGAGTAGGTCACAATTTCTTTCTCCAGCTCATTTTACAGATGAAGAAACTGAGGCAAACAGGGTTAAAGTGACTTGCCCAGGGTCACACAGCTAGTGAGCTAGTCAGATGAGTCTTCCTGACTTCAGGCTCAGCGCTCCATCTACTGTAGCACCACCTAGTGGTCTACTTCATAGATTAAGCAGAGCTGGGTCCAGGGCACATTCCCATGGGATATGCAGGGTCTAAGGAAAAGAGAGAAATTGTTAGAGAATTTGGGGAAGGCTCCCAGCATTTTGGGTAGAACCTCAGGGTGAACTTATAGCATGGCCTGGAGGAAAGACACCCAGGATCTGCTGACCAAGGTGGGCTGAGACCTGGATCATTGGTGGGCACATCCACATGGATGAGATCACAGACCCACTGGGCAATTGAGTTTTAACTTGCAAGGCTTTCCAGTAGACTTTGTCAAAGGGCTTATTCTAACATGTGCCTTCCTCTCCTCTTCTCTCTCTTTCTGGTCTCACCATTTTTGGATTGCTTTCCCTGCAACTATTTTTACCCAAATTTGAAGAAAATGCATGATAACGAAGGAGACTTAATTGCTCCAAATTTTAAAAATTGTGTAATGAAGCCCTAGCTACCCACATTCGACATTATTCATTGGCCTCCCACCTGGAATCATTATTTCCAAAATGAGTCTTGCCTCCCCCAGTTCAGTAGGGATGACGAATATCTGTGAGAGCCCCATCCACGTTCCCATCCCCAGCCCCCTTCCTTCTGCAGAGTTCAACACCCTGTGCTGAAAAAGGTGCATCCAGCTGTTATCTCATTGTCCGATTCAGTCCAAAGCCACTGTTATCCACTTCAAGTCCACAGACATACAATGAGCATCAGCTGTGTGTCAGGCATTGTGCTAGGCATTGGGCATAAGGCTCAAAACAAAAACAGCCATGACATCAAGGCGCTTCCATTCTATTTGGGAGAAACAATGTGTTTACAGACAAGCAAATCCAAGTCAAGGGCGTCCCCAAAGTCTTAGTGCCATTTTTAGGCTATTGAGATTTAAAACAGCTCTAAGGCTTGTATAGAATAAATACAAAGTGGTTTTTTTTTGAGGGGAAAGGGCACTCACAATTGGGAAGAATGGGACTGGTCTCCTTCAAAAGGTGGCATCTGAGCTATGCTTTGAAGGATTTTAGGGATTGTGTAGGGCAGAGGTGGGAAGAGAAAGCTTTTAGGCATGGGGGACAGCTTATGTAAAAGCATGAAGGTGGGAGACTGAATGCTGTCTATGGAGAACAGCATGTATGCTAATTTGGTTGGAATGTGTTATCGTAGGATATCAGAGTTAGGAAGCCCTGGGTTTGAATCCAACTTTAGACAGATACTTACTAGCTGTGTGAACCTGGACAAGTCATTGTCCTCAGTCCTTGTCTCTGGTCCTCAGTTCCTCATCTGTAAAATGAGAGGGTCAGACTGGATGGCCTCTAAAATCTTTTCTATCTATGATCCAATGATCAACACCTACTTCCAGTAGTTCTACCTGGATGACCTGGTTCACCTTGCTGATTCTATTTCCTCATCTATAAAATGAGAGGGTTGGACTAGAGGATCCCTGAGGGTCCCTTCCAGCTCTGATTTGTGAGGCTGAAATGTCCCTTGGAAGAGGGGTTTCCATATATCAATAGGAAGTTTGCCACTCAGTTCAGAATGAGCTCCAACAGGTGCCTGCAAATTCACAGGGCTGTTTGGAAGAAAAAAGCTAAGAATGGGTAGAATGTGAATGAGGTCAGGAGAGAAGGCAAGAGACAAATCAAGATGAAAAAATGTAACTAGGAGCAAACTAAAAGTTGAGGGGAGAAGGGAGGGGAGGGAAAAAGCAACCTTGGAATTCAGTTCACTGAATTGGAATGGCATCCAGCTCTTAGTACAGTCATTGATACATAGTAAGTGCTTCACAAATGCTTTTTCTTTCATTCATCCTTTCATCCATTCATCCATTCATCCATTCATCCATCTGTCAACCATCCATCTATTCATTCATTCATCTATCCATTCATCTATCCATTCATCCATTCATGTATTTATGTAGCCATTCATTCATTCATCCATCTGTCTATCCATTCATTCATTCATTCATCTATCCATCCTTCCATCCATTCATCTATTCATCCATGCATCCATCCATCCATCCATTCATCTATCCATTTATTTATTCATCCATCCTTCCATCCATTCATCCATTCATTTGATGACAAGCTAGATCCTGGAAATTATTGGTGACACTGAGTCCTAGACAAGGACAGAGAGAGCTTCCTCCATGAAAGGAGTAGCTTTAATGTCACATTTCTTCCTGGTGCTTTTCTCAGTGTACCTCATTGGAAACAGCCTTCCTGGGGTCATTGGTGGCAGGGGTGGGGTAGTATAGTGCAGTGGGATAAACACCAGCCTTGGAATCAAAGGAGTTAGGTTCGAACCTCATCTCTGTTACTTCAATGGGCCTCAGTTTCCCTCTGTGTAAAATGAGAATGTAGAGTTTATGACCTCTAAGCTCCCTTCCAGACCTGAATCTGTGAGTGGGACTAGATTTGGATACTATTTTTCCTTAAGTCCTTGGTGACTAGATGTAGATTGTTGGGATGGATGGTTGCAGAAGATGTGGGTTCAGATCCTTATTCTCTGGCTTACAATCTGTATGACATTAGACAAGCTAATTATCCTCTTGAGTCTTAGTTTCTGTATCTCTAAAATGAGGCGGTTGGACCAGATGTCTGCTGAGGTCCCTTTCAGCTCTGGAGCTGGCTGCTACCTGATGGAGTGGCTGGCTAGAGCTCTGAACTTGGAGTTAAGGGCCTTGAATTTTAATTTAGCCCCTGATAGTTACTGTGGGCAGCTGGCTGGTACTGTGGATAGAGTGCAGGATGGAGTCAGGAAGATCTGAGCTCAAATCCAGCCTCAGACCCTAGCTGTGTGACGTTGGACAAGTCACTTCATCCTGTTTGCCTCAGTTTCCTCATCTGTAAAATGAGCTGGAGAAGGAATTTGCAAACCACTCCATGATCTTTGCCAACAAAACCCTAAACAGGGTCATGAAAAGTCCGACATGACTGAAAGGACTGAACAAGAAGTTACTGTGTGTGTGAGACCGGGGGCGAGTCACTTAACTGCAAAATGGGCATTGTAATGGTACAGTCTTCACATGGCTGTGGGCATGGAATGAGCAAACATACAAAAAGTGCTTTACAAAGCTCAGGGTGCTGTGTAGATGCTGCTCTTTAGGGCTGTATTTGGGCAAGTCACTTAACTCCTCTGTGCCTTAGTTTCTTTCTGGATGAGATGAGGAGGCCAGGCTGGTTTCTCTCTGAAGTCCCTTCTGTATACAAAGCTTTTCCCTCATGGACTGCATTGGATTCGTAATCACTCAGTCAGTAAACATGCCATGGGCCTGCCATGGGCCAGGTTCTGGGCTAAAGTCTGAAAATAGAAAGAAAGGTGCCAAACAGTCCTTGCCCTCAAAGAGCTCCCAGTCCAGTGAGGGTAACAACACATAAATAATTCTGTACAAACAAACTCTAAACAGGTTAGATAGGAAATAATCAATGCAGGGAAGGCACTAGAATGAAAAGGGATTGTGAAAGGCTTCCTATAGAAGGTGAGATTTTAGCAGGGACTTGAAGGAAGACAGGGAGGCCAGCAGGGGGAGAAGAGGAGGGAGAGAATTGTAGGCATGGAATGATGCTGTCAGACTTAGTATTTAGGAAGATCACTTTGGCAGCTGAGTGGAGGAGTCCCTGGAGTGGGGAGAGGCTTGGGGCAGGGAGACCAAACAGC